TCCCGCCGGATCTCTCGCACGGCACGAACCGCGACCGCGACACCGAAGTGACGGAGGGGGTGGTTTGTCTCCTCTTCGACGCGGCCTCGAAGAAACACTCGGCTCCAGGCCCGAACGGCGTGCATTCCCCCCCCTCGACTCCCACTTTCGCCCATTATACTCCCCTTATCGCCCCCTCGACACCCACTTTCGCCCACTAAACTCCCACTTTCGCCCCTCGACACCCACTTTCGCCCACTAAACTCTCACTTTCGCCCACTCGACACCCACTTTCGCCCCCTCGACACCCACTTTCGCCTACTAAACTCCCACTTTCGCCCCCTCGACACCCACTTTCGCCCCCTCGACACCCACTTTCGCCCACTCGACACCCACTTTCGCCCACTCGACACCCACTTTCGCCCACTCGACACCCACTTTCGCCTACTAAACTCCCACTTTCGCCCCCTCGACACCCACTTTCGCCCCCTCGACACCCACTTTCGCCCACTCGACACCCGCTTTCGCCCATTTAACTCTCACTTTCGCCCACTCGACACCCGCTTTCGCCCACTCGACACCCACTTTCGCCCCCTCGACACCCACTTTCGCCTACTAAACTCCCACTTTCGCCCCCTCGACACCCACTTTCGCCCCCTCGACACCCACTTTCGCCCACTCGACACCCACTTTCGCCCACTAAACTCTCACTTTCGCCCACTCGACACCCGCTTTCGCCCACTCGACACCCGCTTTCGCCCATTTAACTCTCACTTTCGCCCACTCGACACCCGCTTTCGCCCACTCGACACCCACTTTCGCCCACTAAACTCCCACTTTCGCCCACTCGACACCCACTTTCGCCCACTCGACACCCACTTTCGCCCACTCGACACCCACTTTCGCCCACTTGACACCCACTTTCGCCCACTCGACACCCGCTTTCGCCCATTTAACTCTCACTTTCGCCCACTCGACACCCATTTTCGCCCACTCGACACCCGCTTTCGCCCATTTAACTCTCACTTTCGCCCACTCGACACCCGCTTTCGCCCATTTAACTCTCACTTTCGCCCACTCGACACCCACTTTCGCCCACTCGACACCCACTTTCGCCCACTATACTCCCACTTTCGCCCACTAAACTCCCACTTTAGCCCATTTAACTCCCACTTTCGCCCACTCGACACCCACTTTAGCCCACTAAACTCCCACTTTAGCCCATTTAACTCCCACATTCGCCCACTAATCTCCCACTTTCGCCCACTAAACTCCCACTTCGCCCCCACGACACCCAC